AAAATCTAATATAAATACTATAAAAACTTAATCTAAATATATATTATTAAATAGGTTTATAATAATATAAAACTTAGAAGTAATATAATAATCCTCCCTTTTAAGTAGTATTATAGTTTACTATAAAAAGTCTCCCTTAATAATATAGATTAACTAGTAATCCTTAGATCTTATATTACTAATATCTTTATATCTATCTATAATAAATTATACTATAGTTATACTAAACTATTAGAGTTCCTCTTCTACTATTATATCTATAATAGCTTCAGTAAATTTTATAAATATCTTATTACCTATCTTAATTATTATATCTTCTAAACTTATTACTATATTACCTATAATAACCTTTAATTAATCCTTCCCCCTCTTTATCCCTATTTTATAATCTCTATTAACTTCTTTCTTATATTATTAATAACTACTAATAGCTATAATTATATATTAATTATAATTAATAAGTTCTTTAAGGAAATAATTTTAAAACCTAATAAGATAACTTATACTATATAGGACTAAAGTAAGTATCTCTTTAACTAATTAATAAGTAGTAACTAGGGAGTCTTAAAAATAATCTTAAGTAATTATAATTTTAAGTTTTTATCTTAGATATAGAATATTATATAGAAAGGTTTTAGAACTAGTTTAATATATAGTACTACTTATTACCTCTAAATAGATAACTAGATAGAGTAATTTATTTAATAAATTAAATCTATAATATAATACTATATTTATAGAATAATTAATCCTATAAATTAAATCTATAATATCCCCTAACTATAATTTAAATATAATAATATAAAATCTATAACTACTTAAAGATTACTAAATAAGATAGTTAAGGGATTCACCCTTAATAATATAACTATAATAATTACTAATTAAATCCTATAATCTATCTAGGTTTCTATAGCCTAATTTAAGATCTATAATATACTTATAATAATATCTATATCTATAAAGAGGTTTTATAATAAGTATTATAACGCCTAATTCTTTAATATTAATAATAAAGTCTACTTATAATTATACTATAACTATATAATACCTTAAACTATAACTATTAGTTATAAACTAAGAGAATAATTTATTAGTCTCTTCTAAGTTATTAAGTATATTAACTAATCTATTTATAGATTATAATTCCTATTAAGATAGTATATTTATAATATAATCTTAGTTAACTACCTTAAGCTTATAAAATTTAATCTATATAGATAATAGTTATTTATAATTCCTCTAATCTATATAGTAGATAAAACTATTATTATAATCCTTAATAAACACTATACTAAAGTTAAAACTAAGTAATACCTTATTTCCTATAAAGGTTTTAGGTCTAAATATAATTAATAAGTTAATACTATAATAGTTATTAATAAAGCTATTCTTAATACTTAGAACTTATATTAGATTAGAAATTATAGAGTCTAATAATAACTTATAATAAACTAGATTAATATAGTTTAAAAGTTCTATAATTTTATAATAACTAGATTTTATAATAGTTTTAGAGGATTTAAAGATATCTAAATAGATTAGAAATAGCTATATAATAGATTACTAATATAAAAATTATACTACTATATAAATAGTTATAAGATAAGGATATCTTATTTTTATTAGTAGTATATTATAAGGGTAGCCCTATAGGGCACTACTTATAGCTACCTCACGCCTGAATATACCTAGACTTGCACTTAACTAATATATCTACACTCACACCTACTACGCAGGCCTCATAGTAGATGCGGATATTTCCATTGCTTATTTTGGGTTGAGATTGACGGGCTGTGGTGGGTTGGCCCGCCCACTTCCCGATGCTGACGACTCTTCCGCCGTGGTTTTTGCTGTGGCTGGGTGCGGCGGTGTTGCCGTGCTAATTTGACGGATGGAGGCTCCAAAGGGACGGTATTATGCTCGCTCCGGGTTCTCGGCCGGCGTGAGACGAAGTTCGGGCCATTCAAGGTTTGCATTCGGCCGTCTTCCGATGGGATGGTGTCGTGGTTCCCGGAGTCGGCAAGGGTGTGAGGATTTGATGAGAACTCGAGCAATTCGATGGAATAAAGGTAGTTTTCACGCAAAACAATGACGGCTTGCAGACAGTCGTTGGCTTCATCTTCATTTGATACTCATGTCCTCGTGATCCTATGTTCAATTCAATTCAATTCCTGCTCCGTCCATCCCAGCGTCTCTGCTCTAATCCACTCATCCAGGCCCAAAAACCGCAGCACAGGCCTCCCTGGCGATGCGCTGATCATCAGCAAAGGAAAGACGGTCACCGACTTCCTCCACATCCACCCAGCTAACCTCGAAATCTTCATCCTCCTGCTGCGTTCCTTCTTCCCGTGGAATGGTAGAGTCGGCAGTCGCGACGAACCAGAAGATAATCTTGAGAACTCCGTTTGAGACGCGCTGAGCAACGGCGATGGGTTCAGTGACATGGGTCGGGCGGTCGTTGGGGGCTATTGAAGATGGTGTTGTCGCTCGCGTGGATATATTGACTGGCAGAAGATCCACTCTTACGCCGGTCTCTTCATAGGTCTCCCGCTTTGCCGCGTCCTCTAGGGTTTCGTTGAGGTCTTTACGACCCTTGGGCAGCAAATGTTCGCTCGAGTTGCGGCAATAGATGAGGAGAACTTTCTTATTTTCGACATCGATAGTTACAGTGCCGCAGCTAATGACGAATTCATCGGCAGAGTCCAGACGTCTGTGGGTGGTGGCCATGTTGAAGATGATGCTTTGGCATAGAGAGATAGAGTGAGATGGGTGTATTGTCGAAGCAGTGAACGAAGAAGAAACGAAACGAAAAGAAAAAAAAAAAGGACGGGACGTTGTGAGACTAGAGCTGATTTTTCTTGGGCGACGCATTACATACAGAAATATACAAACCAAAAGTGACCAAATCGCCAGAAATAAACTTGATCAAAGACATCAAATTCAGCAAAGTATTGTAGCGTACTAGCTGAAGAAAAGAAATTCCCCTGCAGATCTCGCGATTCCTTGTTTGAAGGTATCAACACGTCTTAGACAAACCTCTTGGGTGGTTTGCTACAGAATCAGCTGTATCCTACGATGCTCATGGTCGTTTTACTTTCGTAGGAATCAAATTCTTCGCTGTGAGCCCATTGGAGGTACCGACAGCTTAAAACTTTAGCTAAGTTTCTGTACATCAGTACTAGAGGACGAGACGCCAGACAAGTAGCACCAAATAAGTCAACAAAAACCCTGTAGTTGACCCTTGCTTTGGTCGTACCAAAGTGAGTGCATATGCAGGCAGCGGCTACAACAAGCAAGCCTATCACGGCTGAGGGTTTCCCAGTATAAGAAGCTCGCTGAGTTAGGTATCGAAGCGCTGCCAGGATTATATCACCTTGCACTCTTCAACTCACAAATCTTCATTCCTACCGCTAGTCGCCAAGACCGGTCCGGCCCCGCGGGGGAAGGCGGGAAGGACAAGACGGACTCTGTTAGCGCAGGTCGGCCGGCGAAGCGGCCGGGACCCACTAGAAGCGCCGAGCCGTCGATGACAACTCTGCAATACAACTCCAATCATGCTAGATGCCGCTATGTAGGCGTACCACGCCCGCGGTAACGGCGATCTCCAATTCCGTAGCTGCAAGCACTCGTCTGATCTTCAGCGAACCTACAATGTCGTAGCCTCAATTATGCCGGCGCATTGCTGTACCGAATAAGGCGGCATCTTGCAATTCTGGGAGATTCTTCAAAGATTGAGACGTGAGACTGCTACAATTCAAGGCGACGTTCCATGAAGTTGTACTGATGCTGCTGCCTGTTGACGTGCCACACGGGCAACGCTGGTAGATGACGATGCATGTTGCGATGCAAATGTCCCAGGTAGGCCAGCCGCGCGTCAGGCATTCGAGGGCCTATTTTATTGACCTTGCGAAACATTTGTGGAGGGGCACGTACGAGATTGAGACGATAGTCTGTTGCTGTTGTGGAGTGCACTGAAGCTAGAGCTGCTGTTTTTGTGCCTGACGCTTCTGAGCATTCAAACATCCACGACCTTTGTTGGCTACCTAAATTATCTGCTCCATGTGTTGGGCTCCGCGGACGCTCAAATCGAAGAATGGCATTCTTCTGCCGCCTCTGAGCTCGCATTCCTCAAAATGGCATGGTCTTTGCAATCCACGCAGCGAATCCACAGTGGGAGGTACCCACGCGGAGATGGTCTAGAAAAGGATGGGAACATTGGGAATGTCGTCACTCATGTAGGACAACTCTCGTTCTCCATGAAAATAAAAATATGAGAAATAAACAACAGAATGCTTTCGCCTCTGCAGGATAAAGTTGTCAAGGCATATTAAGAACATCCGAAGCTTCATCAAAGTCAAAAATCCCAGCTTCCGCTTCGCTGTCACCCGCCGGCCTGCGTCGCTCTAGCGCTGTCGACCCCAACTGGGGGACACCCGGCATAAGCGACCCTGCAGAATCGGCCCAATCACAGCGCTGGCAGGTGGTACAACGTGGCTGGGGGCCCAGGCTGTCGTCACCCTCTTTCCCCAGCACGGATAAGGCTCAGGCTCGAGCTGATAAGGCCAGCTGGAGCTCTGCGACCTGCCTTTGGGGGGTTTGAAAGGCGACTCGGCGCATTGCTCCTGCACCTCCGCCAGCTGCAAAGGGAACCTTACTGCTTGCTGCCATCTTTCAGCTTTCTCCCCTCCACATCCATCCCACCACGACCAACCTATCTACGCTCCAACACGCATAGCTACGTTCCCTCGAGTCTTTCGCCAGCTTAGCTTGCAAACGACTCAAGCAGCAGCAGCAGCCGTTTTGTTTCAACGGCTCACCTACGTCCTGCTCAACGACCGGCCGTCCCGTGTGATGTGAAACGGAACCGGCGCCTTTTCCCTCCCGTCCCGTCTGTTTGTTTGTGTGTCGCAACCGCTGCATCCGAAGATTCCCATTGACGCCCGTCTCGACTGACCCCCGAATACCCTAGTGGAAGCTCGACTTCCCATAGCGACAACATGACCGCGTGGAACGTGAGTAGTCGACCGATCGACGGAGGGGCAGCTGCCGTTCGGGGACATTCGCGCTGACTGGGTGGGCAGGTGTTCCGACTACTGGGAGATGTCTCCCATCTCCTCTCAAAATGCATCTTGATGCTTGCGATACATCGCAATAGGAGTGCCGAGGGTATGTCTACTGAGCAAACTTCACGGAGATTCTCCAAATGCTAACAAGCTCCGCTCCTCAGGTGTCTCCCTCATCACGCAAGGGCTATACGCTCTCGTGTTCTGCACGCGATATCTCGACATATTTTCCGAGCAATCAGCATGGAACTTTATATTCAAAATATTCTACATAACATCTTCCTTTTACATTATAGGCATCATGCAGTGGGTCTACCCACGATCCAGAGAGCGTGAGATCTCCTGGAAGGTCGGCGCTGGTGCCCTCGGCGGCGCGCTCCTAGTCTCGCCCTTTGCTATGCTTATCTTGGAGAGCTACTGGAGCTTCCGAGTGGTATGTAGACACACAATCTCCCACCCCCCATCCAGATATCAGCTGACACAATTCTTCTCAAGTGGCTCTGGGACTTCTCTCAGATCCTTGAATCCGTCTGCGTGCTCCCTCAGCTCCTGCTCCTGCGCCAGACCACCGTCCCCACCGTCATCGACTCCTTCTACCTCGTAACTCTCGGCTCCTACCGCGGCCTCTACCTCGTCGGCTGGATCACCCGCGAGCTTGACATCAACGACAAGGCCCCGAACCCCGTCTCCGTCATCTTCGGCATCGTCCAGACCGCCCTGTACGTCGACTTCGCCTGGGTCTACTACACCCGCCAGCGCGTCAAGCTCCGCAACGGCGGCATCGTCGACGCCGACGACATGCGCCGCAGCTGGCTCCTCAACCGCATCTTTGGCAAGCGCGTCGACATGCACTCCGACGACGAGGAGAGCGCCCCGGCCCTCGGTGGTGGCAACGATGATTCCCGTCGTGGCGGACGGCCCAAATGGGGTGCCCGCGGCATCTCCGTCAGCGCAGACGAGGGTGTCCTCGACACCGATAGGGATAACCGCCGCCGCGACGAGGAGCTCGAGGAGGGCGTCATCGACCCCGATGCCAAGATGCAGGACCCAGATGAGCTCGCTCGGGTCCTGGACGACGACGAATCTGACTCAGACTCCAACAAGGCGTCCGGGAGCAACGGACGTGTCAATGGCGCGCCGAGCGGTATTCAGAATGGCCAGGAGTGGCGCGACAACTAGATGTTGGGCTTTGAAGCGGCCAGGCAGATTGCATGTGTGGCCGGGGACGTCTTGGTGAATATTGTACGGATAGCGGAGGTAGAAAATGGAAGAGACCTCCGACTTAGACATGTTGTTTCCCATTAGCATTTCTCTTTGTTCTTGTCTCAAATGTTTCTGTGTCATCATCTCCTCGGAGACAGTTTGGGAGGTGGGTAGTATACCAAGGATGGACGACGCAGATGAGGGAGCGAGCGGATATCATGAATCCACCTTCAGGCGCTGTGGTTAGAAAGCACAACCGTCGCAACGTGTAGCAATCAATATGGTCAGATTTCATCTTATATTCGGTCGGTGGCCGTTAAATATGTTCCGGCAACTACTTGCGTAGCTGCATCAACTGCTGCGTATGTCTCTTACGTATATGTATATCACCAACTCCGGACGCGCTGCTATATATTTCAGGAAGAACACACAAGCTGCATCTCGGGCCCCCATCGCCTGGCCTTGGACCAGACCGACAGCTTCAAAGCGCCGGCGGAGCATCATCCATAGCCTTCAAGCTAGACGAGCCCAATATAACCACTCAAGGCTTCAATCGCATCGCAACCGCTCCAGCACAACAACGCTGATCCATACCATATCCGCGCTCAAGAATTCAAAGTCCCAGACACCGTGGGATGACGCCCGTAACTCCCGTATACACATTACAATGCAGACCGCTGTGCTAAATCGCAGTCGTCGTATTCGCTACAACCTCCGGCAAGTTCCCTCCGAAAGCAAGCGTCTGCTCGTTGGAGGTCAAGTTCGCCCAGTTCCCCGTGAGCACGGCCGAGTCGACGTCGAACCCGCCCGCGGCCGAGGTGTCGTTGATGCCTGTCGCGTTCTTCAGGTAGCAGAACTGCCCGATGCCCTTGACCAGCGCGACACCCACGCAGATGCCGCCTCCGACGTACACGTCGTCGCCGACGGCGTCGCTGTAGCCCTGGTTGTACTGTGCGCAGAGCGTCATGCAGGTCAACATGTCCGGGACGGTCATGACGAGGATGTCGCGCAGCTCAGGATTCAGGCCCTGGCGCTGCGGCCAGAAGGTGTTGCAGAGCACGTCGAACGACATGGCTTGGTCGTTATTGAAGCGGATCGGCGAGCCGGAGGCGTCGTACGGCGTCACCGTCGTGTTCTTGGGGGTTGAAGAGGTCTCGCAGTACGGATTGATCGGGGCCGCCGAGGGCACGCCGAGTTCCTGTATGACTGCCGTCGGTGTGCTGTTGCTCGATGCCGAGGGCGTGTCTTCGGGCCTACGGAGGCAAAATCGTTTCGCGTCAGCCAGGGCTGCTGGCTGAGGATAGATATAGAGAGACGTACAGGGCGCGGAAGCGGTCTTCGAGCGGGAGGGGCGGGAAACAGGACGGGGAGGTAGAGTTTGGAGAAAAGAGAGAAGAGTAGAAGAATTTCCCGTTTTTCTTCGGTTTCAAACGTACCGGTTAGCCAAACCCAGCGCCAAACCGACGGCGATGGCGACGCCGACGATAGTGACGCCCAGCGCGACGGCCACCCAGAACCGGAAGATGGTCAGGCCAAGAATCGTCTTTCGTGGTTGGCCCTCGACCTGTCCCGCGTTCTCGAGCCTCCGCATCCAGCCCGTCATACGGCCCCCCTCATCAGGCACTGACGCCGGCGACGGCGCCACAGCCGCCGCTACTGGAACACGAGCTATCGGGGACACCGACCGCTCCGCGCTGATTCTCCGAGATTCTGGATACGGCGGCGAGTCATCCGGGACGTCACGCAGATGTGCAGTCTGGGGATACGAATTGTCGACATGTTGTATCCTAGGCACCTCGATTGGTGATACGTCTTGTGTTTGCCTGGGGTCGACGGTGACGTTCCCCGGTTGTCGCCTTTCGTGAACCGGGATGATGAACTTGTGTTTTTCCTCCTCCATCTCCATGTTGGGCACCGGCCCGCGGCGGGCAGTGGAAAAGAATTGGTTGTTTGGGTTTCGCTTCGTTTCTTGCCTCGATCGCGTCTACTCCCCTTTTTCCTTCGGGGGTCTTAATTCGTTGCGCCAAGTGGCATGCAGGTCCCCGGCGTGTAAGATTCGACGAAACAACGGGCCGCCGCTGCAGCCTCCCTTTTCCCTCTTGATGAGATGAATACGATGTGGTGAGCAAGTGAAAAGACGCTACCCGACCGTCGTGTAAGGGTAAAAAGGAGGATTACGCCCGGAAATGTTGGATGGCGAAAGATTGGGAAAAATGCAGCACGCGGGGCTAGCAGGGACGGCAGTCGCGCGTGGGTAGCAGCCGATTCCTTGGGGGCAATGAGTGCGAGAAAGGGGATGCAACGTGGAGACGACAGTGAGAGAATGTGTTGGTAATGCTGATGGTGCTGCCTGTATCTCGGTCTCTGCTTGGCTCAAGACGACTGTGCCTCTGGCTTTTGGTATAGACGGTCCACTCGGGAGCCTTCCTTCAATCCTTCGTCTTTCAGCTCCGGAGAAGGTGGGAGGAAATGCCCAAATCGAAAAGGTGACCGTCTTTTGCCATAGGGTTGGACTTGTTTAAAGGCTGGGATAGAGACCTCGGGCGTTCCCCGGACAGGGGGGTCACAGTCGCTCACTTGAGCCTGTTCTGCACTGCAGAAGGGTGATTTTAAGATGTGGCTGTAGCCGATATAGTTGTGGAACCGTTGTCATGGATGGAGCCTCTCATGGACAAGCAAAAGGCGTCCCAGACCATGGGCGATTGTGTAAAGGTCCAAATTTAAACCAAGGAAATCCAGGGATATGCGTCTGCGGGCGCTGGTGTGTGCGTGTCTAATGTTTTGCGTGCGGCGTGTGTGTGGTTGTGGTGTGCTGTCTTATCCGCAATACGGCAGCTCTTCGGACGATTGACAAGACAAGATTTCATGCGCGTGGGATGCATGGCAAGGCACGGGGAAAGAAAGAAGCAAGTGCTAGCACTGGCGCTGTGCCAGGCTCCTCGCCTCTGGGTTTTTTCTGTGGCCTTGGTCTTGTTCCGGCATTTGGAACCGACTCATGCAGGGATTGGGACAGCGATTATCAGCGAATGGTATCCCCGTCGTCTGCAATCGATCATCATCCCGCCTTGCGTGAAAAGGGGAGTTCGTCCGGGCTCCCACTCGGGGAAAATGTGGAGGCACACTCCACGCGACGGTCCGCCTGAGCTGTTTGGTTTTTAAGGCCCATGGGGGTGGTTGTGGGCGTCCAATTGCCTGCTCTGGGGTGTAGTGTCGCTGATGGAGGCGCCTTTGCGACCAAGAAACGCTGCGAGAAGCATCAGTCATCCGCCCAGCTTAGTGTTCCTGGTTGACTTTTTTCACCGGCTATTGTTCAATGTTGAAATTTTGGTCGCTCAAGAAAAAGCGAGGCCTTGACAGGTCACGCGGGAAATCTGTCGGCCAAAATCCGGCGTACCCGATCCGCGGGATGTAACGGAGTGGCCTGTCATTTCGGAGGCATTGTGGGCTTTTGACGTTGGTAGGGCCGAACGTCTCTCCACGATATAGCGGATTCGCCCGCCGTTCGAGGGCGTTGTCGGGTTCGTTGTGGATTGTCGAGCGATTCTCTCGCAGTCTTCGCGAAATGAATCCCGAGCTCGGAAGAGGGCAACACTGAGAAGGGATGGATGAGGAGGACGGACAGGAAGGGGAAGAACCCGTCACGTGCGTTCTCCTCAGAGAGCTTAATGCAGCAACGACAACGATGACAACAGCCACCTCCCAGAGGTAAAATTGACTACACGTCCCAGGAAGGCAGCACTTGAGGCCGCGTTATGCCAACCTTCCATTCCCGATACTCTCGCGCCTGTTCCAGCACCGTCTTGTCCTGGGTGACGCGACTGGTACTTCCGTCGTGGCGGCGTTCGTGCATTAGATCTTGTGCCCATGTTGGCAGTGAACGCCATCGAGTGTTTCTTAGATGCGGGCGACCAGCAGTACTTTCTCAGCCCTGATATTCATCGACGGGCCGCCCAAAGTGGATGACTTTATTTCTATCCTGATTCATTGACCTGTGTCCCACTGCCTCTTGCCCTGTGCTTCCTGAACGTTTCTACGTCGCTGAAAAACGCAGGCAAGTGACATGTTGCTCGTCGTAGCTGTTGCACATGGGACAGCTGCCGATGTGTGCCGCCTGCTGCTGTTGTCTCTGTGCTTGACACTTTGATTCCAGATATGTCCGGTGACACAACTTCGATGTGGCATCCCTGAGCGAAAGCCATAGTCCTCCCCGTGGCCCCAATATTGACTTCAACTCGATACGGCCGGGCACACTCTATTATTCTTGTCGCCAACTTCATACCTACGTGTATTGTTGTATTCTTTTCAAATAAATTATAGGTTTGTCAATTTCTCTTATGGATGCTGGAAGTGCAAAAAGAGAAGAAAACAAACCGAGAATAGAAACTAAAAGCAAAGTATCCAATTCGAACCTCCAGGCCTTCAAGTAGGATCACTGTGATTTCCATGGCACTAACATTGCTGTAGGCCTGATCACTAGGTCACTTCGCACTCCTCGCTATTGACAATGACTACACCAAAGTTCATCAAACACTCCAGCTTCTTCGAAAGATTTCAGCAAAACCTAGCCCTTAGGATGCCACTAACCGCCCCAGGCACGACTAGTCGTCCCTGTAGCTCGTCTTTATGCCTTGAAGCTTTGTTAAGATGATTGATTCAGTATCCTCTGATAAGTATATAATTCTAGAATTCGAAAGTGGGTATGAGTAAACCATCTTACTTTGAGGATTCTACTATGACTAGAAGATGCCTTGCTCTACCCCCGTAATTCCTGTTGTGAGTCTATAGCTGAGGTACACACCATACTCTTCAAATGTGGCAAGAAGGGCTCATTCCGACCTCAGGGATCTGGCAACGGGAAAACACTTGTTTATGCTACCCGACGCGAGGCTGTAACTCATCGGCAGGGAGTTTGCTACGACTAACACGTCAACGCAAGTCCACTCAGTCTACTGCTGTCACACCTCATGGGAGGCCTGCAATCACAGCCATGACTCCAAGACGCCACCTCTGCCCTACCGGTATCATGATTCTAGTAGGCTTTCATGCAGTAGCTATCGCAGACCTTCATACATCGTATCAGGAGCTGCCAATAATGAGGTATATCTCTCATAAGTCCGGAGGAGAACAAGAACAGCAGTAATTCCAGATGTATATGATCTGAATCAGAGTAGATTGTCATAAAAAGGTGAAAAGTTTTAGCAGTCTCAATCACCGAACCAGAATTCTATTCTGTGCCATATTGTGCCTCTGACAACCGGTTCATGTAATGATACATCACTAGGTGAGTCTGCAAAGGAGTACTAAATGGCACGGCATATGCCAGTCCATTCAGCAGTGCCCATTTATAGTCATGAATCAAATCACAGACCGTACAAAAATATTCCGATGCTGTCCTCGAATAAACCGTTCATTAGATGTGCAGTGAAGTGAGTGAGCCACACCCCGTCCTCATATACCTCGGCCGCACACCGTCCGCCGAAGGAGAAAAAGTGGACCGAGTCACCAGTCCGGCGGCTTCGGTCCGGCTGCAATCATCCTGCCGGGCATTTTCACCGCTCGGAAACCGAGAGAGAGCAACTTGCCACAGAGGGTGGTGGTCCGGGCATCCGTCTCGCATAAACATGCCGTGTAGCCAACATGTTTGACTTGTTTGGATGACAGCAAGGCATCCTTGCCGCGCGCTGGCTAAGTGAACCTTTTACCCCGCGAACCACGCACCGTTACATGCCTACTCCGACCTGAGCTTTCCCCGGACAAGTTATCCGAGGTCTACAGAGTTTGGTGCGAAGCACCACTCATGCGGCGATCCGCGCTGGGTGCCGTGTTGAAGCTACTTTGAAGGTTGTGACACACGGTTTCGCGGTTCTTGAGAAGTATGATGGGAAAGTTTGTACATTTGATGATGGGTACGTATAGTAACTAAAACGCTTTCATCCAAACCGCAGATGCTCCATCTCTCTGCGGCGCCATGGGGATCGTCAAAACCCGCTCCTCCCGACCTGCCCTTTTCAAGCCATGGGGTCTTTGATGGCTGTCCCCGAGGTATCTTGACCACGTTGTAACTCCTGTAGATATAACAGAGATGAAGAAAGATGCAAGAAAATCAATGAACGAAGCGCCTCTCAAACTCATCGAAGAGAAGGGGGCTGATGTCGTCGCTGCTCATGCCCTCAACCTCCCAGAGGACGCCCTTCTTGGCGTAGTGCTCCAAAAGAGGCTCGCTAGTCTCTTGGAACTTGCGGAAGCGCTCCTTGTAGACGGCCTCGGTATCGTCCGGACGCTGGGTAAGGGGCTCCCCGGTGATGTCGTCCTTGCCGGGCACCATGGGAGCGTTGAAGGTGGTGTTGTACACGCGGCCTGAGGGTTCGTGGACCCAGCGGCCGGAGATGCGCTCCATGATGACGTGGAAGGGCGTCTTAAGGGAGACGACGAGGTTGATGGGGATCAGCTTGTCGCAAGTCGCGGCCTGGAGCGCGGTGCGCGGGAAGCCGTCCAAGATGAAGGATGCCGAGGGGTCCTCCGAAGCCTCGGGTGGGCTGTGGCTCTCCAGGGCGCCTGAAGCGGTGACGAAGTCGTCGAGCTGCTCCTCGTAGAAGGCGTCGACTGTGGCAGCGGAAGAAGCCAGGGTCATGACCTGAGGGCGGCCGCGGTTGACGAGCCAGCCGTTCTTGTACATCTCGTTATAGATGAGGCGCATAATCAAGTCATCGGCGACGAGGCCGCCGGACTTCATGGTCTTTTCGACCTTGATACCTATAGCGAATGGTGGTTAGCATGTGCGATGTGGCAGGGTGTGCGTGCGCGCAACATGTGAAAACATACCGAGAGGGGTCCGGAGCTTGACATTGTTGCGGAGAAGGTCGCCCGTGCTAACAGACTGGAGCTGCGGAAACCGTTGAAGAAGGCGTTCAGACTGCGTTCCTTTTCCAACACCGGGGGCACCGACGAGAATGACGCGGGCGGCTTTGCGGAGTCTCATAGTATACGAGGGTCAACTGGTAATCGGCGCAAATGGTCGATTGGGTGCCTCGGAGGTTTGGGGGGAGGGGAGATGTTGGGGGAGACTCGGGGAATAAGAGAGTCGAGGTCGAGTTCAAATCGGAGCTTCGAAATTGGCTGGCGTAATTGATGGCTCTTTTTCCCGGGACGTGCGGGAGAAGAGGGACGAGTCGGAATCGCGAGACCCTAACGGGATCGTGGTCGGGGGGAGGTTTAGGAGCAGTCCATGGCCACTGCGAGAAGTCGAAAAGCTGATATTTGGGACAGTCTGGGGGAAGGGAAGAAGGAGAAGAGGAAGCAAGAGAGACCGACGGGGAAATGTCGAGGTGGTACAGCAGGATAATGGAATGCCGAGCAGGGCGGGTGGAGAAGAGCGAGCGGACGCAGAACCGCGGTGGTGGGATGCAGCAGTGCGAGTGCAGGGGGCGATGGAGATTGGCGCGCACCTCGGACGGGGATGCTTGGAAATCGGGCGATTGTCGGATGGGCGTTGAGCGCTGCCACTTTGCGTAGGTGGCCGACGGCCGGCGGGTTGAGTACGGTACGCCGTAGAAGGGTTGCCCCTCGTGCTTGAGCAGCCGTTGAACTGCCCTTAGGTAGTGCCTTGGGTTTTGTCCTTCCAACAGATTATGTCTTAGAGACAGCTGGCAGTTGTCTGTTCGTTTCTTGTTGCTCCCGTGATCCAAGCGGGAGATTCACCGTGGAGGAAAACCCTGTTGAACCCTTCGCTGGCTTAGATCCCTTGATACTCTTGGGGGCCACGGTGCTGCGTTACCAGAGAGGTCGGTCCGCGGTCTCAAGCTCTAAAGTCCGGGGTACACTAGTAGCACTGGACATAACTCCATGCCCCGACACCAACACCGTTGGCGGGCAAGGTCCAGCGTGGTGTCATCACTCTTTTGCTCTTCTTGGGGATAAGATAAGCGCACAGAGGCGAAGAGGATACCCGGACTTGGGTACGTATCGCTGCTGACGGCATCAACCCGGCCCCGGCTGGCATTCGCAGGCTTGAGTGCGACTGCCAGCTGGCATGCCGAATGGACTCCTACCTTAAGGTAGCCAGGAGGACCCTTTGCCCCTCCAGCTCGTCTCCTCACCAAAAAGTTGTGAGCGGAGCTTGGAAAATTTCAGGGAGCATTTGTTGAGGCGTCCTTCGGCTGCGCAGCCGTCATTATCAGCACATCACATTCCGATCACGCACTGCTCCAACCCAATCCTCTGAAGTCCTGCAGGTTGCTGGCCCCAAAATGATACACGCAAAGGACCGATGAGTTGGGGTGACGAGCTGGCTGCTGAGGCTTGAAAGTAAAGTCATAAACATGTCCTAGCCCCTCACTTGGACCATCTCGGTCCGGTATCCGAACATCGACTATTTACAACGGGGACATTTTGGGACTCGATGATGGCCGCCTCAGCCGTAGGTAATCCATTGCCCCCTGCCGAGGTGCACCTTGCAGAACCAAGCAAGCAGTACCTTAGCCAAGGTAGACAAGCACTTCAAAAGATGAAAGGCACCGCACCCTGAATTGGCAACAAAACAACCCAAGGCCAATACCGCCGATCTGTCCTCCACACGACGCCATCTAGACGGCCCACGTCAGTCTCGACCAAGGGACAAGTCAGATTTCAGGCAAAGGGAATCTGCATCAGTTCGTTGTAGCTGCTGTGGTCCACGTCCACGGCGGTGCCGCAGCCTCTGCTGGCCGGCCATCCGGCCCCTCTAATCCCATCGCCGACGCGGGCAAATGGCGACTTCGCGCAGCCCAGCGGACCAGAACAACATGGGAGCACCGCTAGAGGGCTGCTCGTCCAAAGGCAGGTTGCCAGCAAGCCCAGCGGGATTCACAATGTTTAGCCAGCTAAGCCCGGCATGACCCACCGATCTACAGGAGACCGCCGGTGTCTTCTTTGCTACCCATGTGGCGATGGCAGAGGCGAGCCAATCAGCTTTCTGTCTTGGGCCAAACAGTGGACGGCCAGGCTGGTCCGGGCTCAGCCCAGCACACTCAGCACCAAGATTCGAGAAAAAGGTACTTTCCAGAAAGATACGTACCGGGATCTGGACGCAAGCCGTGCTGTGCTGCGGCCTTGCGGAGCGTGCCAACTGCCTTCGGCGCCTCGTCCGTGCTTGCGTGCTCTCCAGCGTCCCGCTGTCTCTGCAGAAGTACCCAGTGTACTGCAAACGAACCCCGAGTTGCGAGAGAGGTGAGAAGGAGGAGACGGCACCAGCGAAGGACAGACAAGGAGGCAAAACCCCGTGATTTTGCACGTGCTGCACCCGGTCCCTGGACCCCCCCGGAATGGGTGGTTTCGGAAGCCAGGGACAAGTCGTGGTAGCACCCCATTTGATGCGATCGGTTGCCCTCCATTCCAGAATTCTTGAGTCGTTTCGCATCGCATTACATCTCCCCGTCCTTCCTCTTCATCATTGTTCTGTACTTAGTTTGTAGTATATTGCCTACATACACCACGTCGCCCATGACCGCTGCTCTACGGTAGCTTGTCGATTATTCCCACCCACCTTACCCACTAACCAGCTGCTGCACCTCCTTACCATCGAATTTGCCATCAAAGGACTGCTGCAGAATGAGCGCCTCAGCCAATGTCGCTCGTCGGGCGGTGATTGCGAATCCGTTCCTGGGCAACGGTAAGCCAGACCTCCTGCATCTGCCCCTCGACACTGCCTCCTGTCTTGGGCGACTCTGAATGTTTTCTCTGACTCTCTGCAGCGCGTGCGCTGTCCACTCTCGGTGTTTCGCCAGCTGTGCTCGGCCGAAACGCAAGGCACCTGCCTCGTCGAACAAACGCCCTCGCAATTCTCGTTCCCCTCCGCCAACTGGGCACCGATCACCACAATCACGGCCAACATTCAGGCCCGCCGCCGGGCTTCAACGTGGAGGAGGCTAAGAAACCTCTCCCCAAGGAGACGGCGACAGCAGCCAAGGCCGAGTCCAAGGCGACAAAGGAATCCAACGATGCTTCTCAATCCGAAAATGCAGCCTCCGGCGACAAGGCTATTTCCGACAAGGCCGACTCCGATGCTTCATTGACCGAACTCGCTGCCGCCAAGAACGCCGCCGTTGAGACAAAGAAGGATGGGAAGAAGGACGAGAAATTGACTGTATGGCAGAAGGTGAAGAAGGAGGCTCACCACTACTGGGATGGAACGAAGCTGCTTGCCGCCGAAGTCAGGATCAGCACCCGCCTCGCTCTGAAGATGGCCGCTGGATACGAACTCAGCCGGAGAGAGAACCGGCAACTGCGCCGCACCGTCCAGGACCTTGGCCGCCTGGTCCCATTCTCCATGTTCGTCATCGTTCCTTTTGCCGAACTTCTTCTCCCCGTCGCCTTGCGGCTCTTCCCCAACATGCTTCCCAGCACGTATGAGGGCCAAAAGTCCAAGGATGCCAAGGCGAACACACTGAGGGCAACGCGCAAGGAGGTCAGCGAGTTCCTCCGATCTAGTCTTAAGGAGACCGGACTGCCTTTAACTCCCGCAACAACCCAGAGTGAGGCTTTTACGGTCTTCTTCAGGAAGCTCCGCTCTTCCGGCGAGTCGCCGACTCACGAGGATGTCATCAAGGTCTGCAAGATCTTCAAGGACGACCTCACTCTCGACAACCTGTCAAGACCCCAGCTGGTCTCCATGTGCAGGTACATGAACCTCAACACCTTTGGCACGGACAACATGCTCCGTTACCAGGTCAGGCACAGAATGCGCCAGATCAAGAGAGACGACAGGCAAATCAGCTACGAGGGCGTTGACAGCTTGACCGTGGCCGAGCTGCAGGTGGCGTGTGCCAGCCGCGGCATCCGCACGCACAGTGTTTCCCCTGCGAGAATGCGCGAGTACCTGCAGCAGTGGCTCGACCTCAGATTGAAGGACGGTGTTCCTTCGACTCTTCTGGTTCTGAGCAACGCCTACATGTACGGCCAGGTCCCTGCCCACAGCCAGATCGAGGCCCTCGTCGGCGTCCTCTCCTCCATCCCCGATGAGCTCTTCCACGAGATCTCTCTTGAGGTGCACACCGCCGAGGGCGCTGCCACGAACAAGCAGCGTCTCGAGGTTCTCAAGGAGCAACAAGAGCTCATTGACGAGGAGAACAGCCAGAACGAGGAGAATGCCAGCACCGGCTTTGCCACGCCTCGCGATGTCGACAACATCGACGAGAAGGAGGACAACCAGTCTGCTGAGGCTCAGGCGGCACCCAAGAGCCAGGCCCAGGAGGCTAAGGAAGCCGAGCAGGAGATGCTGGCGGCGAGGGACCAGACCGCCCAGACTGAGAAGAAGGCGGAGAAGAGCGACCAATAAATTGCTCCACAGCTGTAGACAAGCACATTTCCTTTTCTTTGTTAGACGTGTATGGCATAAGGCTGGGTAGCGTGTACTAAAACAGGGTTCATGACACCCAGGGGAACAGCACAGGTCACTAGAAAGATCCATCTCAGGAAACCAACAAAATAGATTCCACTACTGTACAACGGGGACGGATATTGTGTAAATGCCACCACTATTTATGTAGAATACCTACAAGAATGAAATGAACTCTTGGCCATCTTGGTGCAAACTCCTTCAGTTCCTCCCATGTCTTATGTCCTCTGGTCTCAGCCTGGCCAGAGCTTCGCTGTCAACTGCCAATCGAAACGGGTGGCTATCAGGTGGAAAAGGAAGAAGAAAAAAGCGGTCCCTGACCTGGCTCTGGCTGGCTTCGGTGCCAGTCCAAGAGGTTGCACCGCTCTGTCTGCGGCTTCGTCATAGCCTCCCGAAACTGGGGTCCAGGCAGGAGTTCCGAGTGTTGCCCGGCTGCTAGCGAGTGACCTCAGCGCTTGCCGCTTCCAGAGTGATTTTGTGGGTACACGAGCGCTCCCCCGCTATCGCGCCGCCCCAAGCTCGCTCGCAGCGTCACCAACGTACGGTGCGGCGACAGCACAGGCAGCTCCCTCCAGGTCCCATTCCCCACCACTGCCGCCGACGTCTCCTGCCATTGTCCGGCAGACAAGACGATCGCTCCGCCATCCCTTCTTTCCCTGCGACAACCTAATTAATCGACGTTCAAATTCCGGACCTCGGTCTCTTTGGCGGCGACGGCGATTTACCTTATTCCCTGAACAAATCTGTTGCGCGATCCAAGCTTGACCCATCATCCCCCGTTTCGACCTGCGATACCCTCAAACGACAACGACGACGTGACCCCACGTCCGCCCCAGCTGGACGCCATGGCGGTCCTCGATCAACACCACGATGACTTCTCCAACGTATCTTGGCACACGGAGCAGAACGAAGCTGCCGAGAGCTCCAGCTCTGTGACAGGCCCCAACCCCGACGATTCCGACCGCAACGGACACTCTGCATTCGACAGCGACACCGCAGACACCACCGGCCAGGAGGTGCTGGATTGCACCGTCTCCGAGCCTCTCAAGGAGAATGATGGCTCCAAGGATACCTTTGTCTCATACCTCATTACCACCAATGTAAGGCAATTGGAAAGCTTTGTGCCTCTGTTCTGCAGGGCTGCTCTCGAGGGGTGTTTGCGCGCTAACACGGCTACCACAGACGACCTTTGCAACCTTTCAGAGATCACAAGCATCAGTCCGCCGTCGGTTCACCGATTTTGTCTTCCTGTATAAGGTGCTGAGCAGAGACTATCCCACCGCGGCAGTACCTCCCCTCCCCGATAAGCAGCGTATGGAATATGTCAGCGGCAACCGCTTCGGCCCTGACTTTACCAACCGTCGAGCGCATTCCCTCCAACGTTTCCTTACCCGTCTGTCCCTCCACCCGGTACTCCGTCGCGCCGATATCCTCCACATCTTCCTCGAGAGCCCGGACTGGAATGCCACGATGCGCAGCCGCAGTACGAGAGGACCACAGAGCAGCGACGCCGGCAGCAGTGGTGTCTTCGACAACCTTACGGATAGTTTCCTAAATGCGTTCACGAAGGCCCATAAGCACGACAAGCGGTTCCTAGAGGTGCGCGAGAGAAGCGACAGACTCGACGAGGACCTGGCCCACATTGAGAAGGTGGTCGCAAGAGTGGCTCGCCGAGAGAACGACATTGAATTAGACTTCAAGGATTTGGCGGAACAGTTCCAGAAGCTGATTACCCTCGAGCCCGGCGTCGAGAACGAGGTCAGGCACTTTGCCAACTCGGTCGAGGACACTGCGATGGGCTTGCGCAAGCTCAAGGACGTCACGGACCAGGACTACCTCGGCAGTCTCCGTGACATGCAAGCTTACAGCACGGCACTGAAGAGCCTTCTGAAGGCTCGTGAGCAGAAGCAGGTGGACTATGAGCAGCTCACGGGCTACCTTAACAAGGATACCGCCGACAGGGACTCGCTCCAGTCAGGCGGGGGTGGTGGCGGCCTGTCAGGTGCCAGCGGTAGACTGATGCGCAAGCTTGAAGACGTGCGTGGAGTCGACCACGAGCAGTCACGCCGCGACAGACAACGCAAGCTCGAGATGAGCATCGACAAGCTTACTATCGAGGCGGAACGGGCCAAGAAGACAAGTGAGATGTTTGACGACGAGGTTGTTAAGGAGGTCTCCGATTTCGAACGCATCAAGCGGGTCGAATTCAAGAAGCAGCTTGGAGGTCTCGCGGACTCTCATATTGAGTTTTACGACGAGGTCATTGAGATCTGGGAGGGATATGTCAAGGCGATGGAGAAGGAGGGCGTCTCGGGCACTCGCAGCACCGGCGTTGAGCCTCCTGGCCGGCGATTGGTGGACTAGAGGGGGCGTTTCGAGGTTCCATGGGCTTGATCCTGAGCCACGGCACGACATGTGGCTTCAAGAAGGACGTCAAAGAACAAAAGAGCGAAGAAGGTACCACCCGGTTATTGGGTTGCTGTGTGTTGGAATATGTATTTGCTTGAGATGGCACCGGGACATGGCTTTCGAAGAGACAGTAGAGAAGGCCGGCCATTCAGCGGGAGTATCGGGACACTGGCACTTTTCGGATCCCGTCATGGAGGGCTGGACATTAATCATGAAAAGGGGATCGCAACTCTGCTGATAACGAATATTATTACTTTTTTCTTGGTAGAAAGACGTTGGCGAGCTCGCTTGACGATCAAACCTTACCCGAGCCGTGTCTTTGGGAGTTTACCAAGGCAAAGTGACGGACAGGGCATCCATCGTGTGGCTATGTAATGTTCTGAGTCTACTCTTTCAAATACAGCCTACCGAGTCTGGCTTTTGCATCCAGCCTGTCTGTAGCTGACATTCAGGGTCTTGGTCATTCATGCAGAAGCAAGGGTGGCCGATGCAGGACGAAGAAAAATGTTTACCATCCGGTCGCGCCAAACATTTCAGATGTAGGAACATGAGTCTTGCCGTGCTGATGGTGGCTGTCAAGACTCGTGTAGATTGGAAACAAGGACGTTTACCGCGTGCGTGCAGGCATATTGAGGCGAGAGACATTGGACAGAGAGTCAAGAATGGCCACTACTGCTACCGACCACCGCCGCCGCTGCCGGCCGAGAACACCAAGCTGGAGTACATCAGAGAGTTTCATGAGTCTGCCCGTCCAGCATGAGGGGAGAGCATGCTGCGAACTTGATGTTACTTATTATATCGCAAGGGCTAGCGTGTTATAAGGTGGTAACGTGGTGTGTGTGAGGAGGACGGCAATGGTGGGGGAGGGTGTTCGAGGACGGGAGCCGATTCCGAAACGATTGACTGTGTCAAGCGCCAAGGCCCAGCGCGGCGGGAGGCGGAAAGAGAGGAAGACCCCAGAATGCAGAGGGTGCTTTTCTCTTGGCGAGATTCTGTGATTTGATGTCTGGGGGTGTTTGGACCTTTGAGCCAAGACTGAGATGGCGAGTGGGAAGGTGAGGAATAGTTACAAGTTATCTGAGACGTTGTTTGGATTTTTTTTCCTATTTCATTTCAATTGATGGATGGGCTCAGTGAAGGGACAGGTACGAGTACGATTCCGATCTCCTATTACTGAACGCATCGTGGCATCTTGGGGGAAATAAGCATGTGCACAGCTGCATTGCGAATTACGAACACTACTGAGGGTACGTACCCGGAATCTGCATTGCCTGGGCTGGGGGATCTTCAGCGCGGCGCAACCGTCAAGAGGAAGAGGCGAGACGAAGAAAAAAAAAATAGCAATCGGGACCAGGCACACCAGGCAAAGCATTTCAGGGTCGCTCGCCGCGCGGCGTGGCCAATGGGGCGTCGAAATCGGTGCTGCGCCAGTGTTGAAACGGCAGTGTGGGCGGTGGACACTGCTGCACCTGAATCGCTGCCTTCCCGTTCTGTAAGATCAGAGGTTAAAGGTCTCGTTCCTCCTGAGTTGATACATCGTTGGACGTGAAGTACCTCATCCTGAGATGTGCGCAGTCTTCGTCAGCTGGGAGGCTGTGAGAGGTACCTGTTCCTGATCCTCAGGGACTCTTGGGGGCGGCTGCTTGCTTACCTACCTACCTTAGGTACTTATGTATTTGTTAGGTACCTTGGGGCGTCTTGTGCTAGGCTATGTGCGGGCTTAGAAGGGTAGGTAGCATTGCGGGTGCCTTGTCCGCGCTTTATGTTCCTGCCGTTTTCGAGAAGGCCACGAAACAATCATCTGGCAGAGGTCGTCCTGTGTTCCAGATGCCCATTCCACCCTTTTTTACCTAAACATCAACTGACTTTGGATTGTACTTGCGCATTTTACCTTTTCTTACTCCCTGCGCTCTTTTCCTCCCCTTTCCCTTTGAACAAACGCTACCTTATTTTTTGTTGACCCGTCATTTGCTGCAGCCGCTGCATTTACGCTTGTCGTGGCCCTGGCGTCCCCTATCGCATATTGGCACAAAGTACACCCGCGGACGATGAAACGAGGCTTCCCCGCTGTTTCTTACGCGTGAACTCTGGCCTTTTAAGTAATAACCGATCCAGCGAGCCACTCGCAATCTGCTTTGCCAAGCAGATAGACCGTATTCCTGCTCTGTACAGCGGTGCTTTGCGCTGTTCCAGCTACGACTCTCCGGCTCTGGAAGAACGATACAGGATTGAGAATTAAAACGTCGCGCCGGAACCTGGGAACCCAGCAGAAGCTTTGGCCATCTTCAAGGGCGGCCCTTGCCACTTGCGACTCGACCACGTCTCGTCTTCCGCTCCCCCAGCCTTAGACGGGCCCAGTTCGCTCCTTTGTTCCCCTAATCGAGGTACGATCTTGCGTGTTATTTTACACTTCACCACCTTATCTTTTTTCTTTCTACTGTGTTGCAATCGCGATCTGGCTGTAGTTTGGTGTTGGATGCTGACGCCATTCTGTCCTCAGCTTCGCCCCTTCTGCACATCCCTCTCATTCC